CTATCTTTTTGCCTTTTCATACTGTTCACGGGGTTCTCAAGGCAAGAATACTGAAGTGGTTTGCCATTCCCTTCTCCAGTGGACCACATTCTGTCAGACGTCTCCACCATTACCCGTCTGTCTTGGGTGGTCCCACATAGCATGACTTAGTTTCATTGAGTTAGACAAGGCTGTGGTCCATGTGATCAGATTAGCTAGTTGTCTGTGATTGTGGTTTCAGTCTGTCTGTCCTCTTATGCCCTCTCTTATGCTAGTAAGACGGTAGGAGAGTGCCTACAATCTTACTTTTTCTCCACAGCTTGATGTAATTTATTAGATCACATTAAATAACTCTTCCCTGTATACCATCACATGAACCACATGATCTGGTAGTTAGTGCGTGTGTTATTGTGTTTCTTTCTTTTTCCCTCCAATGACATTATGATGTTTTAAGACAGTGACTTGAAACAGTGACTGTACTGTATATTATTACAACTCTGAAGAATCTGGTATGGACCTTAATTATGCATCTACCAGTGCCTTTTTGATCATTGCATTCAAGCAGTCATCCCACACTTGTTTCATACTTTTTGACTATACTGGAAAATATTGTTTAAAAACTCATGACACTTAAAAATGATTGAAATGGTAATTTTTATGTTATTGATATTTTACAAAAAGGAAAAATAAAAAAAACCTTTACACTCAGCCTATAACCTCCCATCCATTCATCTATCCATCATCAGTTTATCCTTTGCCCATCTGTCTAGTTATCTATTCATTTGTAATCCAAAGATTCCATTCATCATCCTTCTTCCCATTTGTGTATTCTTCTATTTCTCCAGAAGCCCATTTGTTCAGACATCACATGACAGACACCAAGAGGAACACAACCTAGGACAGACTGCACTTCAACTGTGATATGAATACTTTTTTCCTTTTAAATTTTAAGTCATTCTTGTCCAGCATTTAGGGATTTCTTCTCTTAACCTTTTCCTCATGCCCAATTTCATACCTGACTTGCAGCTAAACACTTAGGTTATACCTATTCATGAAAACTCTTGCCTGGCTTGGTTACACCATATAGTTATCTGATCAGTCNGGGATTTCTTCTCTTAACCTTTTCCTCATGCCCAATTTCATACCTGACTTGCAGCTAAACACTTAGGTTATACCTATTCATGAAAACTCTTGCCTGGCTTGGTTATACCATACAGTTATCTGATCAGTCCTCTTAGGGTATAAGTCTGCTCTATATTCTCAAGCTTTGCCCTTGATACCAAGTCTGACTTTGGTGTTGCCCATCGGATTTGCAACAGATTAAATCCTATAGCGCAGTCACCTTCTCAGTCTTTGTTCTTTTTGGTCATTTCTCCACTATTAATATTGAATATTCATATATCTTCCTTGATGATGAGACTTTATTAGATTCAGTTTATATCTCTGGTGTTCCCACCGGGCTAATATGTAGCACAGATGGCTCAAATCTACTCAAATTTAACAATGAAAGGAAACAGCATGCTGGAACAAAGTAAATTTTGAGTCCATTTATCTCTGCATCTGTCAAATCCTGTTGGAAACAATCAACCTCTCTGGTAGTTATACTAGCAAACCCAAAACAAAATAGTAAAAGAAGTTGAGGCCACTATCAGCAAGAATATGAACTTTTCTGTATCTTAAATTTTCTATGTGAGTTAGGCAGATAATTGATTCAATTATCCCACAGCTCTCTTTCAGCCTCATTGTGCTTACTTACCCTTCCAGAGAGATCACAGTGCCTCCGACTCACACTGAAGTTTTGGTGAGATCAGATTCAGCGTAGCAGAAGAAGAGATGCATTCATCTTCACAAGGAGAAAAGAGAGATCAATGTAAAAGTTAGTCAGAAAGTTGCTCCTAATGGGAAGTGAGTTTATCAGTTTGTAAAAATGATAATATGAGAACACGTCTGCCCAGTTACACTTCATAGATCAGCAGGATGCTGAATTTTGGGGGCTATTTTAGTATTCATTCTGTTGTTCTACCATCTATTACACTAGAATGAGTATGTATTTAAATGTGGGATAGCACCTAGAATCAGCCTCAACGGTAACACCTCTAGAACCAATGAAAAATGTTGATGATAGTGCTAATAAGGTGAATAAGATGTTAGACACTACCCCAAGCACTTTACATATATTAACCTACTTATTTCTCACATAAATCTTACAAGATACTGGCTGTATTTATCCTTTATCTTTTGACTTCTTGAAACATAGATGAAGAGCTGAAGCAGAAGGTAGTTAGGCAAGTTGCCCAAAGCCACAAAGGTTTCAAGTGATGGAGCTGGAATTTGAGCTCAGTACCCCAGCATGTGCCTTACAGCACCCTTTCCAAAAAGACAGATAGATGGGAAATATTCCTTGAGAATGAGATTATACCAAAAGATTCCTAACAGTTTTCTAGCCTCATATATATTCAAAGTAAAAGTGATAGCTAACTATCACAATCCCAGTGATAGTGCTGGGATTGATGGCTTAATGAAAAGGGGAACAGAGAGGTTCAGTGTTTTCTGTATTTACTGAGCATGGGAGACCACAGGATATGACCCCAAATAGGGCAGTTTGGATAGTCAGAGGTAGAATAAATCCCATGGGTATCTGGGAGGCCCTGCAACTAGAAAGAGGGATGAAAGTAGGCAAGTATGGAACAATTTAACACCACTGAATTTTATCTTTTTCTTAATTTTTTCTTGAGTTCTGCCTCTCTCCTGCATGCTTTGGCATCTATACAAATTTGATTAATCTTGAAGATAGAGTCAAAAAAAGGTACATGTGGTTAGGCCCTTGAAAGGACCAAAACTGTACCATCTACTTTCCTATATTCTCCCTATTCCTGCACTATTAGCCTAGCTTCTGTACCCTACTTTCATTGGACTCTGAGAGTCTAGGCTAATACAAAGCTTGAACCCTAAGTACATGAAATCCCCATTCCCACTGCCCAACATAAGTCACCTTGGACAGACAGGGTTTCCCAAGTAACTGTTCAGAGAGGTGAACACATAAATCCCACAACATAAAAAATATGAAAGTCTAAATCTGGTTCAATGTCCAGGCATAGAAAGTCTATGAAAAAAACCCAGGGTGAAAAGAAGACCCAGGTGATCTCAGAGAGCAAGAAAGAGGTCACTGAGAAGAAGGAAAGAAGTAATCAGAAGAGAGAAAGTGGGGGAGGAAGGGAGAGGAAGAGAGAAAAAATTTCAGAAAATCATGGATGAAATTACCGAGCTCTGGGCTTTTTATGGTTCAGACTTCCTGTTGCATTTATCTTTCCTGAGGCTGAGAGGTCTCTGTATCCATAGGAACCAATATTTTTATAATCCAATTACAGGAACTTCAGATGATTTATTTTTATTGCTAACTCACAGTAAGAGCCTCACAAATGACAACCCCTGAAGCTCCAGGACATGCATCCTATCAGCTTTGGACTGGTCCTGCTTTTTTTCTTTTTTCCTTTTGGTTCTGCTTTTTTTCCACTAGCCACTAGGACATTTAAACCCTCAACAAAAGGTATGAGGAGTTTCTCTCTGATGGTCTTAAGCCCAACTACTTGGGCATCTCCTTATTTATTTTACTCTCTGATTCTAAATACTATGCTAGGAAAACCCATGATGCAAATGATTCCCACATATAAACCTTTAAAAGGGCATGTACAGATTAAGCAGTCAATAACTGGCTGGCTGAGCCTGACAGCCCAGGAGACAGAAAAGCTGATGTCCTTTATTCTCTGGGGTCACAGTTTGAAACTCAACTTTAGACTTATTAATAAAACATACTGATACTTTTAAAAGACTCAGGGGATTCTATTTAGTGTAGGCTTTCCTAACTTTTGTGTTGAAGCTTTGGCTTTGATGAATACTCTCTGTGGTCTATCTAGTAGGGTTTGAAAGGAGGCAAGATGGGTCACAACATATTTCATGCACTTACTCTCAGTATATGACATTTGGGAATGACATGGGAAGCTGTGCATTGATCTTTAACTGACCTTCAGGTTTTTTCCTTTGTCCTCATGATTTGAAGTCCTAAACATTTCTCAGAAGGATATGTTAGTGATATTTGTGTCAAAGTTCAGAGATGTTTTCAGGGAAACATCTGAACGCAGGTCGTGAGAGCCAAGGGGGAAAAAACTGATGTTAAGGACTGAATGATCAACAGTGACAAGTCAGAAGTTTCATCCTGAGAGAACAGAACTGAAAAATACCTGTTAGATCTTGGAACTGGCTCTGAATATTGTCAATAGGGAAGAGCAGGAGCATTAGCTTGAGGAAGATTTAGACGTGAGCTAATGCTTAGAAACTGGTATGTTTTCAAATTTTGCAAGATAATGCAATCAAGGTGATTATAAAACAAGTCAATATTTATAATTAACATCCAAATAGCCAGGTACTGTTCTATATGTACAATAACTCTATGAAGTAGTGTTAATTAACCAAACACGGGTCCATTTGCCCATGTACAGTAGCATCAATTTACTGACATTCGGCTGTNTCGCCAGCCCAGGTTGGATGCATGAGACAAGTGCTCAGGGCTGGTGCGCTGGGATGACCCAGAGGGATGGGATGTAGAGGGAGGTGGGAGGGCGGTCCAGGATGGGGAACACATGTAAATCCATGGCTGATTCATGTCAATGTATGGCAAAAAAACACTACAATAGTGTAAAGTAATTAGCCTCCAACTAATAAAAATAAAATAATAAAAAAAAACAAGAAAGACTTGAACTGCCTGATGACTTTCAAAGAAAAGTTTTCAAAGATGGAGAGAGGGTTAAGAGTATGTGATCAGCTCATGAGCATTATTCTGATTGGCTAGTGGTGAGGTAATTGGGAGTCAACATCATCAACCTTCTGGTTCCAACTGCTCTGATGTCCACATGAACAGCATAAAGCTGACTTTTTCCACCTGGGGGGGGCAGTTTTAATATGTATATAAAACAGCTTAAAATATATGGCACAAAATATTATCTACAGCTCTTAAGGAGGAACTAAAGATGCTTGACTTTTTTTTATTGTAGTGGCTTTTGCCATACATTGACATGAATCAGCCATGGATTTACATGTGTTCCCCATCCCGATCCCCCTAAACTATTATTATTCTGTCTTGCTTAACTGTTTTCCTTTGTTTCTGCATTTTCTTGCTTCTCTAAATTTATTCTTTGGAACTCAGAGAAGGCATAGGAGGCTAAATATTTTCTATCAATAAGAGGCACGTGGTGGATGTGGGGTGGGGTGGTGGTGGGGGTCTGTCCCAAGAAGGCCCCATAGGGTCCTGCTCTCTTTACAGGTGAGGAAAGGAGGCAGAGAAGTGTGAAATATCTAATCCAAGATGATACAATTATTAAGTGGAGGAGGGGGGATTAAAATTCACAGCAAAGACTTCAAAGTCTGACTTTTGTCACCATTCTACGGGTCTTAAATGGAGAAGCTGAACTGAAGGTCTGTCACAGGAATGTTTGTAGGCTGAAGAGGAGCTAGATATACAAAAGGAAGAGAAGGATGAATAATAAAGCAAAGTCTGTGCTCTGATAGAAGACTGTGACCCTTCTGTGGAGGATGACTGGGCAAGCAGATAGGACACATTTTACATCATTTATTATTCTGATTTCACACTGCAATAAACAGCTAAATAAGTTTTTTGGCATATGTGAGTATTTGTATGTGTGTTTCTGCTTACATTTGGAAAAATATTGGGATTATGCCATTCTTCACTAAATATTGGCTGAATCAAATATATTTTGATACCCGAATTAATGTTAAAGCTGCATTGTGATTTAAATGTGTTGTTTGTTACATGTTACTTTTTGCTCTTGTTGTTCAGTTACTCAGCCATGCTGTTGCCTGTCTCTCTCTAGATTTCAAGTTAGCCATTTGCCCTGGAACCTGAAGTTGCTTATGGGCTCAAGATCTGTGGTGCTAATCTGCAGTATGTATAGCAATTTTATTGTTGCAATGATAACAGTGGTGCTCCTTCCAGTTATCAACATCTCTAAGATGAAATTGGAAGTCTTCTCTTCATTCATCTATCATTTCACTGTCTAATGTGAATTTGTCTTTCCTTGAAGTACTTGACAAGTCTTTTTTTTTTTAATTGAAGTACAGCTGGCTTACAATATAAATCTCAAGTGTACAACATGAAAGTTAATCGCTTAGTCATGTCCAACTCTTGGAGACCCTATGGGCTACAGCCTACCAGGCTTCTCTGTCCATGGAATTCTCCAGGCAATGATACTGGAGGGGGTTACACCATTCTACGGGTCTTAAATGGAGAAGCTGAACTGAAGGTCTGTCACAGGAATGTTTGTAGGCTGAAGAGGAGCTAGATATACAAAAGGAAGAGAAGGATGAATAATAAAGCAAAGTCTGTGCTCTGATAGAAGACTGTGACCCTTCTGTGGAGGATGACTGGGCAAGCAGATAGGACACATTTTACATCATTTATTATTCTGATTTCACACTGCAATAAACAGCTAAATAAGTTTTTTGGCATATGTGAGTATTTGTATGTGTGTTTCTGCTTACATTTGGAAAAATATTGGGATTATGCCATTCTTCACTAAATATTGGCTGAATCAAATATATTTTGATACCCGAATTAATGTTAAAGCTGCATTGTGATTTAAATGTGTTGTTTGTTACATGTTACTTTTTGCTCTTGTTGTTCAGTTACTCAGCCATGCTGTTGCCTGTCTCTCTCTAGATTTCAAGTTAGCCATTTGCCCTGGAACCTGAAGTTGCTTATGGGCTCAAGATCTGTGGTGCTAATCTGCAGTATGTATAGCAATTTTATTGTTGCAATGATAACAGTGGTGCTCCTTCCAGTTATCAACATCTCTAAGATGAAATTGGAAGTCTTCTCTTCATTCATCTATCATTTCACTGTCTAATGTGAATTTGTCTTTCCTTGAAGTACTTGACAAGTCTTTTTTTTTTTAATTGAAGTACAGCTGGCTTACAATATAAATCTCAAGTGTACAACATGAAAGTTAATCGCTTAGTCATGTCCAACTCTTGGAGACCCTATGGGCTACAGCCTGCCAGGCTTCTCTGTCCATGGAATTCTCCAGGCAATGATACTGGAGGGGGTTGCCATTTCCTTCTCCAGGGAATCTTCCTGAACATGGGATCGAACCTGCATCTCCTGCTTGGCGGGCAGATTCTCTACCACTGAGCCACCTGGGAAGGCTACACATAGTGATTCACAATTTTTAAAGGTTATACTCAATTTACACTTATTACAAAATACTAATTATATTCCCCATGCTGTACAATACACACTTGTAGCTCATTCATTTTATATGTAGTAGTTTGTACTGCCTAATTCCCTGTCTTGCCCCTCCTTCTTTCCGTCTTCCCAGGGGTAACCACTAGTTTGTTCTTATGAGTCATATTTTCTTAAACTACAGAAAACTTGTTACAATTATTTCTTCAGACTTTATATCTTCATGTTTTATTATTTCCTTGATCCCCTTAAGTCCTTCTATTAGAATGCTGGAGCCTCTTAGTAGCTCATTTATATCTTTAATATCTTGTGTCTGTGTGCTTCACTATGTATGAGTTTCTCAGTATGACTGTCCATCTTCAACAACATTGAGATATTCTAATAATTAAATAAAGTCTAGGGTTTATTTCAAATAGTAACATTTTCATTTCAGTGGCCATTTTTTCCAAAATACTAATGCAATATTTTTATATCTCTGTGATCTTGTTTTTTTTTCCCCTGCCATGTTACCTGTTTGTTGTAAATGGAAATTATGCCTTCATTTAATCCTTCTGAATGTCTTTAACTATATCTATTTAAAAGATTTTTGTCATTATAGGTCATAAGGTGAATTTTCATTCAGTTATTCCTCTTCTGATTACTGAATTTTTTGGTCTGTCTTTCCTCATTTGTTTTGAAATTATGGCTCACAGACTACTTTGAATTGGGTTCTTTCCTGTTTGCTTTGTTTTTTCCTCTTTCTGCTCCTCTGTGCTCATACATCTCTGTCTGGAAATTGCCTTCATGTGGGCGTTGTGATCTCTTCCCCAGAGTGTTCAGCAAAGTACTGCCTCAATACTAGGGAAAATTAAATACGACTAAAGACTGCTCTGGTCTTGCCTAATGAAGCTTTAAAACAAAACCTGAAAGTAACCTAATTGCTCCCCAAATGAAGCTCAAGAATACTTTCAGGAATTCAGAAAGATTTCAAGCATCTAACAGGGTAAAATTCATATTATATGGTTACAATAAAAAAATTCCCAGGCATGTAAAGAAGCAGAAAAGAATCCATAGTGAGTGGAAAAAATCAATAAATTGAAACCACTGCAGAAAGAACAGAATTAGTAGACTATTAGGATGATAGAGTTGAAAGGGAGGGATCACAGAGCAACATAAGGAAATATTTAGGGATGATAATTTGTTCATTATACTCATTGTGTTGGTCATAGGTGTAAACATATGTTAAAGCTTATCAAACTGTGTACTTTACATATGTATAGCTATTGTATATAAACTTGTCTCAAAAATTTTGTTAAAAATTTAAACTGTGTGAGATTTCAACTTTGAAATTTAAAATTCAAAGTTTTTTGAATTTCTGAAATTTCATTTCTAGAAATTAGTCCTAAAGCGATACTTACCTATATTCACAGAGGTAAAAGGTCAATGCACATTCCTGTTTGTAATAATAATAATTAAAAACAACCTAAAAATACCACGAGCAGAGTAGAATTACTGTATATTCATATAATATATTATGCACTTATTTAAAAGAATGTGCCCAATCTATATGTGGATGAAAGCATTTTCATGAAAATTAGTAATAGTAAATAAAGAAATTTGAGGGATCCCTTTTTCTTGCATATAGCAGACTGGACACCCTCAATGACTGTTGAAACTGGAAAAGTTAAATCAGTGGACATAGTATTTTTTTAAATTACCATTTTAAATACATTTCTGGAACTTGGAAAAAGAGGATTTTGCAAAGTCAAATGCCAAACGAAAGCTGGAATATAATGATGAGAATGCCAAATCTGACTTTTACCCCAAGGGTTTCTGTTGAACTCCTGATGCTCCACTTTACAGATTACCCTTAACCTACAGCCTATCTTTGGTAGGGATTTTAATTTAGAATTATATATAAACTGGGACTATTGGTTCTGAGTGGAAAGGAAAATTTTATGGTCATAACATCAAAGAGGATTTCTAAATTCCAGCTTCTTTATGTGATTCTTAACACATCAAGTGGGGAATTTAATTTTAAAGTTCCAGGTTGGCTGTGCTCTGGGACAAGTGATAGAGATGGGTGCAAATTTATTTGAGGGATATAATTTCAAGTTTCAAAGTATTCCCACTGATAAAAGTTCTAAGAAAAATGAACCACAGATACTAAAAAGAAAATCAAACACATAGAGAAAAATCTCACCATGAATGAGAAACAAGATCAAAATAAAAAATCAGAAATGACAGATATTTGATACTGGGATTATTAGTTACCAGAAGTAAAATAGCTTAGTTAAATACATTTTTAGAAATAAGGGAAGTTTGCAATGTAAACTTATATTGAGGAATAAGACTTACTGAGCACAATGAAGTCATTTGAGAAAAAAAAATGAAACAAATTGTAGAAATGTCATAAACACATGAACACACACATATAATTGAAGTCCAAAATTTCAAGGATGAATTAAACAAGTGACTAAATACAGTTTTAGAGAGAACTGATAAATTTCATTATTAAATCAAAGAAGTTAATCAGTTTGCAGTTCTAAGAACAAATAGATTAAAAATACTAGAAAAAGGATAAGAGATAAGAATGATAGAAGATATAATACATGTTTAATCAGAGTTGCAAAAGGTCACAGATGATGAAGAGGTAATACTGTAAAATATCTTCCAGGAATTCCAATAAATACAAAGCAGATTAATAAAAAATGAATATAAATCTAGTCACATGATAGTGAAACTACCATAAATACCAAATGTATGGAGTATAGAAAAGCAATTATAAGTGATCAGTTATCTACCTGGGAATGACAATGAAATTGGGCTTGTCTTCATGACAACAGTGAAAGCCAGGAAATAGTGAGCCGAGAGGAACTATATATGCAGAATTCTATACTCAGGGCAACTGTCTTTCAAGTAGGTATTAAATAAAGGCAACTTCTGACAAACAAAACAACAGAGAACCTAAAACCAATAGCTTCTCACTAAAAGTCTTATCTAATAAAAGTCTTATCTAGACTAACAGGGAACTAATCCGAGGTGAAATGTCCGAGATGCATGAAGCAATGGCAGGAATGATCACCAATGACCATTGTGAGGTAGGGCTGTTGCTACATAATAGAAATAATGGAGAAAATGCGTGGCACTCAGGTGATCCTCCAGGACATGTCTTGGCATGTAGTTACAGGTGCCACGTCTTATAAAGGACAGAAATTTAAGTCTCATATGCCTCAGTGATGAAGTTCTGGTTCACTTAGCAGAATGTGAGCTGATGGTAAAGGGAAGCTCTAACGGGTCTCAGGGAAGGGAGCTGAGGCATAGAAGTTACAGTCTAGAGACTGATCATAGCAGCAACAGCTGTTAAGTCCCACCAGCCTTGGTTTTGTAGGTTGTGGCAGACACAGAGAGAAACTGCCAAGATTCTGCTTTAGTAAGACCTGCTGCCCAGGTGGCGCTAGTGGTAAAGAACCTGCCTGCTAATGCAGGGTTCACTCCCTGGTCGGGAAGATCCCCTGGAGGAGGGCAATGGCAACCCACTCCAGTATTCTTGCCTGGGGAATTCCATGGACCGAGGAGCCTGGTGGGCTACAGTCATGGGGTTGCAAAGAGTCAGACACGACTGAAGCGAGAGCGCAAATGCACGCTACCCAGATGCAGGGCGTGCAGTTGGCAGACAGCTTCCAGCTGTTAGCTCCTTCAGTGTCTGCCTCAGGTGCAGGGAGCAACCTTGCCAAGGTCATGTCCCTCTAAGGACAGACTGTACCACTGCTTAAGTGGGGCAGTCATATAGGGCCTGGCTGTTCTGGCCTGATGTGGGACAACTCTGATGGTCTAGACTCACTCCAGGGCTTCCTCTGGATTGTCCACAGCTTTGTCAGGCCTGCGTCAGAGTTTGACTCCACAGGAAGTCGCCAGGCCTTATACCACTTTTCTTCTAAGGAGCAAGTGTCTTTTAACTTCATGGCTGCAGTCACCATCTGCAGTGATTTTGAAGCCTAAGAGAATAAAGTCTGTCACTGTTTCCATTGTTTCCCCATCTATTTGCCATGAAGTGATGGGACCGGGAGAAGGAGAGGGTGGGATGATTTGATAGAATGGCATTGAAACATATGTATTACCATATGTAAAACAGATAATCAGCGTGAATTTGATGTAGGAAGCAGGGATCCCAAAGCAGGTGCTCTGTGACAACCAGAGGGATAGGTTGTGAAAGGGGAAGGGAGGGGGTTCAGGATGGAGGGGACAGTATGGTCGATTCATATTGATATATCACAAAAATCATCATAATATTGTAATTACCCTCCAATTAAAATAAACAAATTTTCTAAAAGACAATAAAAATAATTTTTAAAAACCCACAGACTGGGAGAAAAGATTAAATATAGATATGACAAGGACTAGTCCCCAAGATATATTAAAAACTCCCGGCATTGGTGGTTGTTCAGTTGCTAAGTCCTATCTGACTCTTTGTGACCCTATGGACTTAGTCCACCAGCCTCTGTCCATGGGATTTCCCAGGAAAGAATACTGTCATTGCCTCCTTCACAGCATCTTCCCAACCCAGGGATCAAACCCGAGTCTTCTGCTCTGGACGCTCATTCTTTACCCCTGAGCCACCTGGGAAACCCTTAAAAACTCCTACTACTTAATAAAAAATATAATTTAAAATGAGCAAAAAGTCTTGATCAAACACTTCATATAAGAAAATACATTAAATGTTTAAAACATTCATCATTAACCATCAGGGAAATGCCAACTAAAATCACATGGATGCATGCATACTAAGTCGCTTCAGCCATGTCCTACTCTTTGCAACGCTATGGACTGTAGCCTGCCAGGCTCCTCTGTCCATGGGATTCTCTAGGCAAGAATACTGGAGTGGGTTGCCATGCCCTCTTCCAGGGGATCTTCCCAACCCAGGGACTGAACCCATGTGTCTTACATCTACCTGTACTGGCACACAGGTTGTTTACCACCAGCACCACCAGGAAAGCCCCCAAATCATGTGTATATTTCACCAGAAACCAACCAAAAAAAAGCTTAAATTAGAAAGGCTGACTACACCAAATGTTGGTGAGACATGGAGCAAACAGAACTCTCAAACACTGTTGGTAGATCCATCAAATGATATAACCCTTTTGGAAAAAATGTGACAATTTCTTATAAAACTTATGCCTACTATGATCTAATACTTCCAATACTAAATATTCCCAAGATAAATAAAAATATTATGTGCCAGAGTTTTTACAAGAACGTTTATGGTAGCTTTATTACTAATAGTCCCAAACTGGAAACAACCCAACAGAATGGATAAGCAAGTGGAACATATTCATACAACGGTATATTAGTATATTACTCAACAATAAAAAGAAAATAAATTATTGATACATGAACAACATGGATGAATCTCAAAAACATGCTGAATGAAGTAACTGTGACACAAAATCTTGTATACCATTTGATTCCATTTATGCAGTGTTTTACAAAGCAGAACAGAGGTTAACAAGTAGAAAAGTGGGGACAAGAATGACTGGAAAGGAACATGAGGTAGTTTGCTAGGGGTTTGGTAATACTCTATGTTTGAACAGGGATTTGGATTACACAGCAGTTTCACTTTATCAAAATTCACCAAATGACACTTACTATTTCAGCATATAGAATTACCTCAAAAGAAAAAGAGAAAGTAAGTCAAATTCTGAACTCTAGTTAATGATATGCATGCTAAAGCATTTATGGTGAAGTATACTGATGTCTTTTTTTGAAATGCATTAATGGATTGATGGATCTATAGATAAGCCATGTATGTATACTAAAAAGTTAACAGTAAAATTCAGGTGTGAACATGGAACAACAGACTGGTTCCAAATAGGAAAAGGAGTATGTCAAGGCTGTATATTGTCACCCTGCTTATTTAACTCATATGAAAAGTATATCATGAGAAACGCTGGGCTGGAAGAAGCACAAGCTGGAATTAAGATTGCCGGGAGAAATATCAATAACCTCAGATATGCAGATGACACCACCCTTATGGCAGANCAGGCAGATTCTTTACCAGCTGAGCCACAAGGGAAGCCCAAGAATACTGGAGTGGGTAGCCTATCCCTTCTCCAGCAGATTTTCCCAACCCAGAAATTGAACCGGGGTCTCCTGCATTGCAGGCAGATTCTTTACCAACTGAGCTATCAGGGAAGCCTATGATTGTATAGATGTTGATCATAAAATTCTTTCAGTTTTGTTGTAAAGAAATTTATTTCTAAGTTAAATGAATGCTGCAAAACATTTGAAAATTGTTATAGTAAGCAGCAAAATACCTATGAAGTTAAAAACATTAAATAATAAGACAAAAATTAAAAATCACTAGAATTGATTCATGAATAAATTTAAAAACTACACAACTAATTATTAAAAGAAATAAACTGGTAATCAAAATTTTTCCTCCACAACAACAAAAAGACAAGAAACCTTTAAAATTTTTAAGATGAGTTTTATAAAACCCTCAAGGAAGTGACAGGCTTTTTTATGCAAATATTTTTTAAAAAATTAAAAGATGACAAGATCAAATGTCAAATCTATAAAGACAAAAAATAGATTAATGACTGCCTAGGGCCAGGGTTGGGGGTTAGGAATGGAGAGTGACAGCCATGGGTATGGGGTTTATTTTAGAATGATGAAAACATTTTGAGGTTGGGTTATATAGTAATGGTTGCACAATTCTGTGAACATGCTCAAAACCACTGAATTGTACACTTTGAATAGGCAAACTTTGTGATGTGTGAAATATCTCAATAATGTTGTTGAAAAAAACAAACCACATGACTGCAACAAAAAACTGACACTATCTCACTTATGAACGTCAATAGGAAATTCCTAAGTTAAACAGTGGCAAAAGTTAATTCAAATTTTACTACTCTACCTAAGTAGGATGATTTCAGGAATGTAACAATTCTTCAACACAAGAACACCTAGCAATACAATTTATTATTAAAAACCTAAACAGTAAAAGCCATATGATTATTTCAATAAATTTACTTTTTTATTTGACATGTATTTATTGCAAGCTTATCATGTAACAGATAAAACATATTCATAAACAAAAGAGAAAAAGTCCTGGTCCTCAATAGAAAAAGCACCTGATAAAACCTGACATCAATTCTTATCAAAATACTGTTAGAAGAAACCTCTTATAATAAGTTAAAGGTGTTGAACAGAAACAGAATAATCATTCTTAATGCTGAAATATTAGAGGCTTTCTTACTGATCCCAATAGAAAGATGTTTGTAGCAGACCTCTACTACACTAACTTTAAAAACGAAATATATAAGAACTGCATGGAAAAAGAAAAAAATTGCTTTCCCTTATGTATGACAAAATAATTAAAATGTAATTTTAAAAATCCAATAATATGTATAAATGAGCCGTTAGAACTAGGAAGATAGTTCAACGAGATACAAGTTCAACAAGGTACAAGATTTATGTACAAATACTACAGCATGACTATACATTAGAAATAACCAAGTAACTGAATTGTTAATTCACAATAGAAACAGTGGAAGGTATCTGATAATGTATCTAACAAAATCTGTGTGTGACCTTTAGTAAAATAATTTTCACCAATGCCAACAGCAGATCAACCTTGGTGAGTGAAAATGTTATTGAACCTGTGTATAATCACCACTTTGCAGTCACAGTCACACTTTTTGTGAGTCTATAGACCAGAGCTAGGCTCACCAGGAAGGAAGAGACCGGCACTCACACAATAGGCTATTCTATTCATAGAATTATTTCAAACTACTTTGGCAGTGGGGTCCCTCTGGTGAGAATTCATCCTAGATATATTCTGTTTCTCTGCTCATGACTTGAACATTCCAACGTATTTACTGTGCAGCAAATAAGCTTGAAACTATTTTAATATTCTCGAAAAAGTAGTGAAGATGCCAGATGTCACTGCTCTCTTTTGAGTTTATATTCTCTGCTCCTGGGAAGTACAAAGTGAATGGAGGGCTTACAACTGATAGTTTGTAAATAAATAAAAAACTAAACAGTAATTTCAGAAA